ACATTATGTCAATGCATGTGCAGCCTGTACATAGCCCTTCGTCTAGCTTAGCAGAGATGAGAAGCTGAGGGCGTTTACTACGCCTTACTTTATAGCAATTGGCCGCCATTATGCTTGTCGGCGTTCTGTTCGTCTTGGAAACCGTTTGTAGAGCAGCAACAGCAACAAAATCCTGTCGAGCGCGGGTAACAAATAGGCGGACAAACCACAATTACTTGAATGCCAGAATTCTAGTACAGCACAGCCAGGATACCGATGGCCACCGACAGCCAACTGCCAGGTTGTAGGGCTTGCGAGCCGGCTGTTGGAACGACCACGACTCCTGTGCCTGAAGCCGGACTTCTAGTCGTCGCGGTCTGGCCTGAGCCGCCGTTACCGCCGCCAGAGCCGCCAGAGCCACCACCAGTAGCAGCACCACCACCGCCATTTCCTCCGTTGCCGCCGCCAGAGGCACCGCCGCCGGTAGCACCACCCCCGGAGCCACCTCCGCTACCTCCTCCATTGCCACCACCGTCTCCTCCATTACCACCGCTTCCACCTCCGCTACCTCCCCCACTACCGCCGCTACCTCCACTGCCACCACTTCCACCGCCACCGACGGTTCCAGTGGACGCAGGGGGGTTGCCAGCTCCGCCAGGTACAGTCGCACCCGGCACCATGCCTGAAAGATTATGGTCAGTAATTGAACGCGAGCCTCGAGATTGAAATATGTCACTCACCACCAGTGGGATTGGCCCCGGGAACGCCCATAGGTACTGTTGGCAGGCCTGTAGGTATGGCAGCGCCCTTGATAATATTAGAGATTGCTATTAACACATCTTGGGAACAGGTCAAACTCACGGAGCAATCAACCGTCGACGTCAGGGACATGACCCTGATCTCAGTGGTGACTGCCGCCGTCGAACATGCGTATAGCGCAACGCCTAGCACCATGTTGGTCTTCATTTCGGCGGCAGCTCATTCAGAGGAACTTGAATGTGATTGTTCAGAGCCCAGTGAAAACGAATCGGACTAGAGGGCCGATGTGTGTTGAGTTTATATGCCGTGGGAAGGTAAGCAGTTGGAAGATTTACCACATCGGATCCATGTAGATGATGTCAGTCTTGTAGAAAGCCGCAAGGCAGCTAAGTTCTTGCTCATCATTCAAATATTCCGGAAGAAGATTGAAGAGTTAACTACCGGGGTAATCGGTGGCGTTGCTGTTGAGAGGACATCGCGTGGGAATAGATCCAGCGTCAGGTGGCTTCAGCCTTTGCAGAACTAGCCATTCTCAGTCTGCGCTCTAGATTCTTTATCGCGCCATTGAAGATCCGCGAGGCTATCCGGTTGCGTCTTTGACTGATTATGAAATCTCAAGGTGGATGGGCCGTCAAGGTTTAGTGATGGAGATGTACTTGGTAATGAAGTATCCTGTACCTGTTCTTGTAGACCACGCCACGAACTCTGTGAAAGTCCGTTCGTGGCCTAGAGAACGACGAGGGTGTAAGCTTAACTCAAGCGTCATCAATGGATACTTCGTATCCGGACAAGATGGCGTCCTGAGCCTGACAAGGAGGTACAGCCACAAGACTATGCAGGATCGAAGGGATGCCGGCCCTCGAGCTGAGCATGACTATTAGTCTGGAAATATTCGTTCGGGATACTACTAGCTGAGCACGAGCTGAATCAAAGACTTGTGATCCCCGCCCGGTATCCCACGCCGATCTGACTCCTCTATCATGCTAAGCTCATGCACCCCGGTCTTCTAGGAGCTGCTTGCAGATTATGAACGGACGTAGAGTTCCTGGCTCGAAGCTTGAGCATATTCTAGGTCGACCCCATAGAGGTAAAGCTGAACTGTCACTCTTGTAAGTCTCTTTAGGCTACAAGCCATAAGGTCGTTCGCTGCGAGGTATTCTTCTCGAAGCTTTCGCCCTCCTGTTGGGTCAAAACCCAGCACTAGACACCAAACCTCGTATTGGAGTGAGAGAAGCTTCTGCGAACTATGTTCTGCTAGCTGAGCTCGAGGATTTAGACAAAGTAGCTTATTCTTTGACCGCTATGCTACGTTGTTAGTTGCTTGGATTTGACCGCAAGCGTCAATAGGAGAGATTGAGATTTCCGAATAGATCCAAGGGTTAGGCCGGTGTAAGAAGATTTCGGGATCCTGGTTCCATGACCGACAAGTTAGTTAACGTATTTGAAAATGTAACATCTAGAAACAGCCTAAACAGGAATGCCAAGTCTAGTGTCTTTATTCCTTCACTTTAAAGATTCCGAAATATCCTCTGCTATTACTAAGATCCGAAGTTGTTCCCATAGGTAGCGGATGGTATATGCGGCGGCAAATTTGGTAAATTCCAGCAAATCCAGATAATTTTACTGAGTTAGCTGACACAAACTGAAATGTGGCGGCGAAACCTCACACTTACTCTGGCTACCAAGCGGCTAACGGCACAACGCTTCTGGCCGACGCAATGAAACTAAGAATCCCCGTGCCTGAGACTGGATCTGGGTGATCGCCCACACAGAACGCCCGCCGATTGTTGGCACTCAACGTCGCGGCACATTGTCTCAGTTGAGTCTCCGCACAGTGTTCACGCTACTGACGCTATTTCTGCTCTGGGTCGAGCTAACTTCTGGAGATGGCTTAATTGCCGAAGTTTATCTTCCAAGGAGGCCAGTCAGCTTTCCCCATTTGGACGACAGCGTTCTGTTTGCCGATAATGGGTATACCTGAAAATCTCGTCATGGTGCCCTTTCCGGGACTTCGGCAATACCTTTTTTCTCGGCTCTAGTGTCCCCAGCGGCACGGCTGCTACGTGTGCCGGGCAGTGCAACCACCAGTCGGATACTAAATGACCGGATTCTCGGACGTACTCCACTCAGCCTTGGGAGGATGCAGATATTGAGGAATGATGGAAAGCACAGGGCTTGGCGAGCGTCCTATCACTAAGTACTGACTGGGGCCGGAACCGCTTGATCAATCCACAACTTACACATAAGTCGGCCAGCAAGAGGCTGTGATTGTCAGCAATAAGGCCCAGTCAATCTTTAACAAAAGCTTCGCGAACTTTACTGCCCAAGTGGATCGCAGTCTCACAATACCCCTGATCGCATCAACATGACCAATTGCGTCGGCCAGATTATCGGTATCGTCTCATAGTCAGCATACATGGCTAACATCCGAAATCATAAAATCAGCATGTTCAACACAGGTCCAAGGACCGAATTCCTCATCTGCATGTAGCGAAGTTTTACACATAGTGGACCCTCACGAGACTAGTCTGTGTGCGAGCGGTGCGTCCCGTCCTCGCTGGAACCGCTAGACGATCCAGTCAATCCACCAGAGAGCGGGTATCAAGCCATCTTTACTCTCACCAGCCCTGGCTGGTTCATGCGTCAGCAGCGCTTGTCACGGACTTAGTCCGTATGCCGATTTCCCACAACAATTCAACCGCTTCAATTGTGCTAAGGGGGAGGTTTGGCATGCTCCGGATCTGGGAACTAACAAATAGGGCACGGCATTTGTTGTGGGCGATCAAAAACACCTAATCCGGGCACGAGATTGGCGACATTGACGGTCCCTTGGCTGCTACTTCGGAGCCTGCTCCCATTCCGAAGAGCGACGGCACCCCACACGCCCCCCGCATGACCACTCGATCACAAGAACATTGATCCAACTAGCAAGCCTTGTATCTCGTCTGTACATTGCAATCAAGTACATGGTGGTTCAGAAACTTTGCCTAGCACCGTCAGCCAGGCCCTTGGCACTCAACTCCAGAGTCATGTTGAACGGGCTCCCTTCAACCCTGGTTTCGGGCTCAAGATATTGACTGATTCCAAAGGATTCACGCCGCGCAAAAAGTTTCCGAGTTCGGTCTCGACTGAGCCGAGTTCCATGTACTTCTTTTGAGTGTATGTACAAATAACTCTAGATGTTAAGATATTAAATAAGGAACGAAATGTTCTTGGATTAAAGTATGACCAACAGAGTGTGAAGCGTGCTTGATTCATGCAGGTACAGCGCTCCAGCAATTGTCAAAGGCTGTTTTCTACATATCTAATTTGTGACAACCGGCTTTCTATAACTCTGCTAAATGGAGTTGCCATATCGGCATGCAGCATCAACACCAACTTGTTTTGGTCATTTAGTCATCTCGCCGGTGCTTCCGAGGCGTCAAAGGGTTTGCCTATTTTGACCTAGTCTTTCGAAGAAGAATGCTGACAGGCTAGCGAAACGCTAAGTTTTTCTATAGTCAAGCCTTCAAGCGTGCGAACTAGCGTCATTAGATCCCGGACACTGTACACTCCACTACTATTCAACCGTACACCCTCAATATCTCTCGTTGTCTTTTGCACCAGGTACTATGACAGTCTAGTCAATCGCAGTCACAGTCTATTCCAGTCTTGTTCCAGATAATAACGTTACTACGCTTATGGGAACTAACGTGCTTTTGGAGCAGGAAGTATTGGCTACCTAACAACCAAACCTGCATAGGGATACGAACTTTGCCTCTCAACCATGGACTTTTGCTTCGTCAGTGTGACTGAGTGACACCCAATCAGAGTCTTGGGACAGGCTGATCACCAATGTCAGACAGCATATAGTTCTATGACGCAAACAGACAACATCTATCGAAGCGACTGAAGGCCTCAGTTTTCCAAGAGATGTCTAGGAAGACCGGGTAGGACCTTCTCCGGTCGAGAAATACAGCATGTCTGCTGTTCTTGGTGGCAACGCCTAGCTGGGTTGGCTGATTTGTTTGTTCGCAAGGCAAAAGAACGATCATCATGTTGAACGTTTGCGGAATTCTGCGAGGATGGCGTATCGCATGGAAACATCTTCAATTTGTTCTACACAACGACGAGCAACAACTTTAGATTAAAAGACGACCGTAATCTCTCTCGTAGAAGCCTTTACTCAGCCAGAGCATCAACAACATCAAGCTTCCTCTACTGCATCATCAGAAGCTCAAGGTAAGTATCGCAACAGTCGGATTCGCCAGTTACACGACAAGATGAGGTGGAAAATCCCACTGTCTCTCGTCGTCCACTGGACGGGGATTGCCAACGCCGCCGCACTCTCCAGTAACCCACCATGTCCAACAGATGCCAAAGTTGTCATCGAACAGCAACCGTTCGAGATTCAATGTTCCGGGAGCATCTCCCTCTCGACCAGGACTAGGTATGTCATCTATCTCAGACTCTTGGGTCGAAGAGAACAACATTCCTTAACATCTTGCAGGACCTACACTGAGTGGGTGACCACCACCGATGTTGTCCAGGGTGGGACCACGTCAAAGGCAACGATAGTTTACACCACTTCTAATCCTCCTGGTCTTATTACCGTCACTTCAACCGGCACTCAGACGGGAGCTACAACCATTCCCCCAAATAATCCCGGCGATCCGACCACTATCGTCACCTATGTTCCACCTCTGCCCACCGTCACTTCCCTCGCCAGCACCGCCGGCTTGACTACTGTTCCGCCTGGTCCAAACGGTGGCCCATCGACCGTGGTCACCTTTGCGACAGGCCCTGTCACGGTGACCTCGTCGGCAAAGACTACCGGCCTTACCACAGTTCCTGGTTCAAATGGAGGTCCTCCTACCGTCATCACTTTTGCCACCACCCCGTTGGTTCCAGTGACCGTAACTTCGACCGCTTCAGTCACCGGGTTGACAACTATTCCTCCCGGACCGAACGGAGGCTCGCCCACTATAGTAACCTTCGTGACGCCCCCTGCTGGTCCAGTCACGATCACCTCTTATGCCTCCACGACCGGCTTAACAACTCTGCCTCCTGGCCCGAACGGTGGCCCCCCAACTGTCATTACCTTTGCAACTGGGCCTCCAGGCACAGTAACGATCACGTCTTTTGCGTCAACTACGGGCCTAAGCACCCTTCCGCCCGGTCCTAATGGCGGCCCGACGACTGTCATCACTTTTGCTACTACACCCCTAACCCCTGTAACTATCACCCAGACGGCATCCACGACCGGCTTGACAACAGTCCCTCCTGGTCCGAACGGCGGCCCCCCAACTATCATCACGTTCGCTACTATACCGCCTGGTACAGTAACGATCACTTCTACCGCATCGACTACTGGCTTAACGACCGTTCCTCCCGGCCCCAACGGTCCCTTTACTGTCATTACCTTTGCGACTGGGCCTCCGGGCACGGTAACGATCACATCTTTTGCGTCAACTACAGGCCTAAGCACCCTTCCGCCCGGTCCTAATGGCGGCCCAACGACTGTCATCACTTTTGCTACCACACCCCTTACCCCTGTGACTATCACCCAGACGGCCTCCACGACCGGCTTGACAACAGTCCCTCCTGGTCCGAACGGCGGCCCGCCGACGGTCATCACTTTTGCCACGGGACCTCTGCCTCCCGTGACGATCACATCGACAGGATCAACGACCGGCCTAACCACGGTCCCGCCTGGTCCAAATGGCGGTCCTACTACCGTCATTACATTCATTACCGGTCCCCCACCAGTCACCCTTACATCCACTGCGTCGATAACTGGCTTGACTACCCTCCCAGTTGGACCTAACGGCGGACCTCCCACCGTTGTCACATTCGTCACGCCTCCTCCTCAGACCCCCGTGACCATCACCCAGACGGCATCAACCACCGGCTTGACTACTCTTCCCCCGGGCCCTAACGGCGGCCCGCCGACAGTCATTACCTTTGCTACCGGCCCTCCGGGTGTCACTCCTCCCGTCACAGTGACTTCGACCGGAAGTACTACCGGCCTTATCACAATCCCGCCCGGGCCGAACGGTGGCCCCACTACGATCGTCACCTTGGTCACCGGTCCCCCGCCGGTTACGGTAACGTCCTTCGGAAGCACTACCGGATTGACCACTTTACCTCCGGGTCCTAACGGAGGCCCGCCTACTATTGTCACCTTCGCAACCACCACCCCGCCAGTGCCGGTCACAATTACTCAGACTGGCACTACTACTGGGCTCACAACCGTTCCTCCAGGGCCCAACGGTGGACCTCCCACAGTCATCACTTTTGCAACGGGGCCTCCTCCTGTGACTCTCACCCAGACTGCTAGCACAACCGGCCTGACAACGATTCCCCCTGGCCCCAACGGCGGTGTCCCCACAGTCATTACTTTCGTAACCCTTCCTCCATTGACCCCGGTCACCCTCACTCAGACTGCGACCACCACTGGTCTCACGACAATACCTCCTGGACCCAACGGAGGGCCACCAACAGTCATTACATTCGCAACGGGCCCTCCCCCCATTACTATTACTCGAACTGCCAGCACAACTGGTCTCACCACCATTCCCCCTGGCCCGAACGGCGGCGTTCCTACTGTCATCACTTTTGTAACCCTTCCGCCGCTGACTCCAGTGACTGTCACTTCAACTGGTACTACCACAGGTCTCACGACTGTGCCTCCTGGACCTAACGGTGGCCCCCCGACGGTCATCACTATCGTCCCAGGCCCGTCCCCAGTGACTCTCACTCAGACTGCAAGCACTACTGGTTTGACTACCGTTCCTGGCGGTCCCGGTGGTCCCAACACGGTTATCACCTTCGTAACGACCCCGCCCCCGGTAACTCTCACTCAGACTGCAAGCACTACTGGTTTGACTACCGTTCCTGGCGGTCCCGGTGGTCCCAACACCGTTATTACCTTCGTCACCGGCACTCCTCCAGTTACCGTCACTCAGACAGCCAGCACGACCGGCCTCACTACTTTACCTCCGGGGCCCAATGGCGGACCGACTACTGTAGTGACCTTCGTCACCGGCACTCCCCCAGTAACCGTCACTCAGACTGCCAGCACGACCGGCCTCACTACTTTGCCTCCGGGGCCCAATGGCGGACCGACTACTGTAGTGACCTTCGTCTCTAGCACTCCACCTGTCACTGTGACCCAGACTGCCAGCACTACTGGTCTCACCACGTTGCCTCCCGGCTCCAACGGAGGACCGACTACCGTGGTTACTTTCGTTACTGGCACTCCTCCCGTTACCGTGACTCAAACCGCCAGCACTACCGGCTTGACAACCGTTCCGCCCGGTCCCAATGGGGGTCCCACCACCGTGATCACCTTCGTGACGAGCCCTCCCCCAGTTACTTTGACCTCCACCGCTACTACAACTGGCCTCACAACTTTGCCCCCGGGACCTAATGGAGGACCTCCTACTGTGGTCACTTTCGTGACCACCACCCCCCCAGTCACAATCACATCAACCGGCACCAACACTGGCCTGACTACAATCCCTCCTGGAACCGCAGGCGGACCTCCCACTGTGGTGACGCTCGTGACCACTACCCCTCCAGTCACCCTCACATCCACTGGCACAACCACCGGTCTGGTCACGATTCCCCCCGGCCCAAGCGGTGGTCCTCCTACCGTGGTCACCATCGTACCTCGCATCGGTATCATTCGGACTTTTACTCAGACCGCCAGCCAGACCGGCGTCACGACTTTATCAAACTCCGATCCCTTCGGCACGACTACCGTCATCACCTTCGTCACGGTGCCTACTGGTGCTCTGACTACTGTCACTTCGACTGGTACCCGAACTGGAGCCACAACAATTATTCCCACGGATCCGGCCGGCACTACTAGTGTCATCACATTCGTCCCGCCAGCGACCGGATTCGTCACGACACTCGTGTCAACGGCAACCCAGACGGGCGTCACCACTTTGCCCCAAACGGACCCCACTGGCACAACAACCGTCATCACTTTTGTCCCTGTGACGGGAGCCATCACAACCCTCGTATCGACGGGTACTCGGACAGGCGTCACAACTTTACCTCAGACGGATCCCTCTGGAACAACAACTGTGATTACCTTCGTTCCCCCCGTGACAGGCGCGGTCACAACTCTCGTATCGACAGGCACGCAGACGGGTGTCACAACCTTACCCCAGACGGATCCATCGGGCACAACAACTGTGATTACCTTCGTTCCCCCCGTAACAGGTGCGGTCACAACTCTCGTATCGACAGGCACGCAGACGGGTATCACAACTTTACCTCAGACGAATCCCTCTGGAACAACAACTGTGATTACCTTCGTTCCCCCCGTGACAGGCGCGATCACGACTCTTGTGTCAACGGCGAGCCAGACGGGAGTAACGACTTTGCCCCAGACAGACCCTTCCGGCACTACGACCGTCATCACTTTTGTTCCTCCTGTTACGGGCGCAATTACGACTCTTGTCTCTACGGCTACCCAGACGGGCGTTACGACCCTGCCCCAAACGGATCCCGCTGGTACTACTACCGTTGTCACTTTTGTCCCCCCCCCAACGGGTGCTATCACGACGATCGTATCAACCGGGACGAGGACGGGCGTAACAACTCTACCTCAAACGAATCCCACTGGTACAACGACCGTTGTCACCTTCGTCCCCCCCGGCGCTTGTGCCACTCCGCCCGTGGATTGTGCCGCATCCGGCCTCACTCTCAAGCTCTACGCAAACTCGGTCCAAGTTGCCGATGGCTATGGAGTCTCAGACGGCCGATCTGGAGTCGGGCCCGATTACTACCTCACTCAGAATGCCCTGGCTCAAGGCAGCACGAACTCAATTTCCGTTCCCTACAAGGATGCGAGCGGCACGACCGTCACGCCCTACACTCCCCAGACATCAGGCTCTTCGACGGGCTTCCGGTACTACGAGGGTCTGACGCAGACGTACGGCGGCATCACGTACAACGCCAACAACTTCACCCTCGTCTTCACCGGATACTTCCGGCCTGATCAGAGCGGAACGTACAACTTCTGCTACGGGTACGCCGACAACCGCGACGCTTTTTACCTTGGAGACGCTGCCTTCGCTTGCGGCAGGCCCGCGAACGCGGATACCCCCAGGGGAGCTACTCCCCTGGCAAAGAGTTGGTTCGCTGCCGACGGAAACACCGGCTGCGCCAGCGTCAACCTCGTCGCGGGGGCCTTCTACCCGGTTCGACAGGTGTTTGGTAACTGGGGTACTCCCTCGTCTCTAAACTTCTTCTTCAACGGACCGGGCCATGCGACGAACTCGTCTGACATCTCGGGGCTTGCCTATCCTGAATCGTGCACCGCAGCCCAGCCCTCCAGCTCGTCAACAACTTCAGCCGCCATGGGCTTCGTCACTACGATCGTGTCGACGGCGACGCAGACCGGCGTGACCACATTGCCCCAAACGAATCCCGGCGGCACGACCACCGTCGTCAGCTTTGTGCCTCCGGCCACGGGTGCCGTGACCACCGTGGTCTCAACCGGAACCCAGACTGGCGTAACTACTCTGCCCCAAACTGACCCGACTGGCACGACTACCGTGGTCTCGTTCGTACCCCCAGTCACTGGCCTCGTAACTACCGTGGTCTCGACAGGTACCCAGACCGGCGTGACTACACTACCCCAAACTGACCCGGCTGGCACGACCACCGTAGTGTCATTCATACCTCCGGTCACTGGTGTCGTAACTACCGTGGTCTCAACCGGAACCCAGACTGGCGTAACTACTCTGCCCCAAACCGATCCTGCCGGCACGACCACCGTGGTCTCGTTCGTACCTCCGACGGGCGCCGTGACGACCGTAATCTCAACCGGAACCCAGACTGGCGTAACTACTCTGCCCCAAACCGACCCTGCTGGCACGACCACCGTGGTCTCGTTCGTACCTCCGACGGGCGCCGTGACGACCGTAATCTCAACCGGAACCCAGACTGGCGTGACGACCTTGCCCCAAACCGACCCGGCCGGCACAACTACCGTAGTCACTTTCACGACGCCCATCACCGGCGCCATAACGACTATCGTTTCAACGGGTACCACGACTGGCGTGACCACCCTCCCCCAGACCAACCCGGCCGGCACAACCACCGTCGTTACTATCACGACGCCCAGCTGCACCCCGGGACTCCGATGGGCCTACTACGGCTTCTCCCGCGCAGCCTCCGACACCGTTAGCACAGCCGGTCGCATCCCCTACCACAACACCGACGACACCTCCAAGGCGAACTGGAAGACCACCTACTTCAACATTCCAACTGTCCTCAATGGCCAGACCCCGAGCAACACGGGCTACACCACGACCATCGGCCTCGCCCAGCAGTGCGACACCACCACCCGAACGGTATACGGTACAACGACAAGCGGCCAGTCCAACTTCATGATCGTTCAGCACATCGGCTACTTCCACCCTCTCACCACCGGCACCTACACTTTCAGCTTCAGCGGCGTGGATGACGGCGTCTATCTCTGGCTCGGCCAGGGCAGTGCCGCGAAGACGGGCTTCACTAACGCGAACGCGCAGAAGAACGTCGATTACTACGACACGAGCAGCTCCGGCACGTACACGTTCGCAGCAACTGCGGGGCAATACTACCCCATCCGTCTCCTCTTCGTCAACGCTCAGCAGTGCGGTCTGTTCAATTTCTCGCTCACGAACCCCTCCGGTGGCGTCGTCGTCTCCAACACCCAGGCCGTCACGAACAACCAACTCGTGTTCAGCTGTCCCACCATCGCGGACGCTCAACCATTCAATTTCTAAGGTTTCTTTTGTCTTTTTTTCTTGATAATTTCATATTGGTCTACATTTTTTCCTCATCTTCCTCTTCGTCACCTGGCAACAATATCTTGTTTGGTTCCTGTCTTGTGGCGTCTTTGGCACCGGAAGATCATACCTCCTCTGTGTAGAAGGGGATATCATCTCAATAGATATAATCGGGAGTCGCTTCGGACACGGATAATTATGTGGTTGTAATTGGTCATAGGCTAGCATTATAAAGATTAGTTTTCTTATTTTCCTACAATAGGGTTTCACGCAACTTGTTCTCATCTGATGACTGTTTTGAACCACAGTTTTGATATCTCGTAGCACGTATAGAACACTGCAAGCGAGTATATCAGTCGTGGATATAATGTATTCCTTACATGAAGCATATATTTCCAAAGGTAACTCTCAGTTGGTTCCCTACATGGACACTAGACATGATCACACGCGTCTGAGGGCGTTGCCAATCAAATGATAGGCAAACCGGTTGTCGTGACAGTGACTTCTACTGCGTTCGATCTTTCGAGTAAATTTGATGTGATTAAAAAAGAAGCTCAACTAAAGTACTAATTTCGCTTTCTTCTTGTGGCTGAAAGTGAGAAGTACGTACACGTAAACTAGCTTCAGCCCCGGATCATTCGTTCTCTCACTTGCATGAGGCACAGTGATGAGTTTGACCAAGGTTCCATACATTGCAGTTTGATGAGACTTTATTCAGGCTGCAAAGTATGTTTCGCGGGAGCGAAGAAGCAACAAGTCGGATGAACTGAATAGCATCACCTTGGCACGCTCACAATCCGAGGTCCCACCCGTGTTGATTATTTTTCGGCGGACATATTGACGAAGTATTGTCGTAACACAGTGATATCTTTACACCAACAGAAACCGGACTTGTAATGCCCTTGATAATTATAATCACCATTTTCCGTTGCATTACTAATCTACTACGACGAGTTAGTCGCAGTAAGTTTAAGTAAGTCGGTACTTTGCCGTCTATTAGGATCTATTTTCATGACTTGCTCTTCAGGGGTAATACAGGCCAGTCATAATCCCGGACAAAAATCGTCTTAAAATTCCATTCCCCCACACCTACCACCTCCAGTTTCTCTCCCTCTTCGCTCAGTAGCACAACCTCGGCGGTGACACCATGAGGTATACTCAGTCTAACATGCAACATCTCTTTGCCTCCATTGACCACTTTCGTCTCCCAAGAGCACTCGATGAGCCCATGACGACTCATATGAGACGCCGAGGCGTGGGAGAACTCAGCTCCAATAGCTGGAGCAATGCGGCATCTCGTCCACCCTGGCTCAAGTCTCTGAAGACCTGCTATTCTTTCAAACAGGAACTTTGCAATAGCACCGAAGGCATAGTGATTGAAAGAGGTCATCTCGCCTGGATTGATGCTTCCGTCGGGGAGCATAGAATCCCACCTTTCCCAGACCGTTGTAGCCCCCATAGTGATGGGATACAGCCAAGACGGGCATTCTTTTTCCAAAAGCATGCGGTAGGCTACTTGAACATGCCCTGTGATGAACAGTGCCTCGCAGAGGTATGGTGTTCCAGCAAATCCTGTTGCAATTTTGAAGTCATTCTTCTTCACGAGTTCCGCTAGACGTTGGCCGGCCCGAACTTTCTGTGACTCGTCCAACACATCCAAGCAGATGGCTAAAGCGTATGCTGCCTGGGTGTCTGACACAATCCGCCCATTTTGAGTCACGTATTCTTGATGGAACTGTGCTTTGGCTGCCCTGAACTCTGATTCAAAGTCGACCTTCCTGGTCTCTTCACCAAGGATGCCAGATATGCGAGCCATCAGCCGCAGACTCTGGATGAGAAACATGTTGGCGACCATCTTCGCGTCTGTCGGGGATTTCCACGGCGCATCTGGGGGAGCGGTAGGATCGAGCCAATCCTGTCGAACATCAGTATGACCGCAAAACTTAAATCAGGAGAGCCACGCACGCCGAGCTGAAAGACTGAGTTGTCCCACAAGTGCTTTGCACCAGATTGGTTGCGCGGCAACTTGACCATCCAAGTCAGCATGCTGCCATACTGTTGGGATAGAATGCTGTCGTCTCCAGTCTCTTGATAGAGCGCCCAAGGAGCTAGAATAGTAACATCATGCCAGATAGCGCAAGGCACTTTTCTACACCATATCGGATCTGGAAGTGTGGCATTCGGACTAACCATCGGCGGCACACCACCCAGAACGTCTTGGTCGTATGCTACATCAATGAGCCAGTTCTTCAGCATTCCATAGCAGTCAAATAACAAAGTTGCCGTCGGTGCGAAAAGCGCTAGGTCACCCGACCAACCAAGCCTTTCATCTCGTTGAGGGCAGTCTGTCGGTACAGACAAAAAGTTTCCGCGCATGCCCCAAACAATGTTTTGGTATAGCTTATTCAGGAGGGGGTCGGAGCAGAAGAATGACCCAGCAGCCTTCATATCTGTATGGCAGACTATGGCTTCGACTGATGATATTAAGTCATGATCACTGGTCCACCCATCGATCTGTGCATATCTGAAGCCGTGAAATGTGAATCGAGGTTCATACCCTTCTCCCTCCGGCGTACCGCTCAAGATGTACTCATCTACAGCTTCACAGATACGCAGAGGGCGCGTTCCGAGCTCATTCGTCTCTAGCACCTCGGCGTGTGAGAAGGTAATTTTGTGATTTTTGGGTCCTTTGATGTTACGGAACTTGAGATAGCCGACGAGGTTTTGACCAAAGTCGATGATCGTCTTGCCGGAGGGAGTCGTTATTTGGTTGACAGGCCCGACGGCTTGAGTTCTCCGCACCGGCTCGCCGTATCCAGCGACCAAAGTGGTCGAAATCGGTAAGAATTCCAGAGTTATCACTTTCTCAAAGCGAAGTCCGTCCGACATGCTGGCGGCCACCCATTTCGACCAATTTGACAACTCAAGGGTGGCGTTATACTTCTCTCCGTCGTAGATCTCAGCAAGTCTGATGGGACCACGAGCGACCTGCCAGGATCCGTCTGTCGAGATTCTCTGGATAATCCCATCGGCAGATATGATTTCCAGCTGAGCAATAAGTGCTGTGTGAGGACCCCAGATATTTCGATGACCGCCCTCAAATCCTATACGCCCAGAAAACCACCCTTCTGCAACACGGACTCCAATGCAGTTCTCAGGCTGATTGCTAGAAAGCAACGAAGTGACATCATACGTCTGATACTGAAGTCTTCCTTCATAAGATGTCCATCCTGGAGCGAGGAAATAGTCGCCAACTCGCTGACCGTTAATTTCTGCCTCGTAAACGCCCTGTGCTGTGACGTACAATCTAGCCTGAAGGGCGGGGAAATTGGCTGAGAATTGCTTGCGAAAGAGCTGCTCTGGGTCGGGAGCGACTGTACCGGGGCCCCAGGGTGCAGCGATGCGCTCACTATTCCAATCTGTACGAGCAAGAAGACCGACCTCAAGGTGCGATGGTTTGCTCCAATCAGTCGCCTTCTCGTCCTGGTCCCAGATTCTGATTCTCACCGAAATCCGCTGACGTGAAGAAAGTGGCTTTCGAAATGGCCACGGCACCAAACTTGATGCAGATGATACACATTTCAGGGTCGATACGACCTTTGAGATAGTAAGAATCGTCTCAGAGAGCTCAATCTCATAGGAAGTTTGACGAAAGTCTGTGGAGACTCCCTCGATTTTCCAAGAGAGTCTTGGTGTGGTCTCATGAACTCCAATACAGCCAGAGGCATGATAGTGCTCGAACTGAACAGAGGTAACCGTAGCCATGATGTAAAACTCGCTGTTGTGAATGATGAACTGCGATGGCGTCTTTTCAGAAGTCGGTCTTGATGTGGCCAGCGAGAATGGGTCTCAATAATCCGCAAAGGTCGTGAGCTTGCCCATCGATATGGCTCATCACTCAGCATCTGTAGTAATTCCGACCTGAAATTCTTACAGCCGTAGGCAGCATCTTCTCGGGTTCCTGTTAAGCCCCGAAAGATTGCTGTGTCGGCGCAACATACAGCGACCTCAGCTAGGAACCATCTTTATTGTCTTGTTCTGGTAATTTTCGCCTGGAGCACAGCGGCGGAAAACCAGGCGCAGATCTTCTAGTGACCTAAGTCCAACAGTCTCCACCCGTATTCGTACGTATATCGTATTGATGCCAAGTTACGAGGGTACTTTCAAGCAGGAAGCTTGGTTTTTGACGTGTCAGTTGAGCCCAAGGTGCCTGTCTTGACTGGTCCTCGTTAACCATCCATGCTGAGTTATGAGCCCCTCCCCGCAGCGAGCTGACCAAGAACAGGAGGATCGCTGTATCATCAGAACAGGCTCGGTGAATGTTGATACGAGTATTTGCTGCAGTGTTCTGGTACTTAAATTGTCCCATTAGTCTGATCAAAGACTGCTTGACGCTTGCACCCAGCCCGGCTGGCATTGTCATCATCATTCCGATCTCAACCAGGCTTGTTTTCCAATCATGTCCAAAGAAGCGGCCATGTTCCAGGCTGGAGACCTGGTAGCATACAGTCAGTCAACCGGCCATGATCTCCCACTTGAGGATCTCCGACTTCCGTCAGATTTTGTCTGGGGCACCGCCACTGCCGCCGTCCAGATTGAGGGTGGCATTTCCCAAGATGGAAAAGGGAAGTCGATTTGGGATGTGTACACCCATCTCGAGCCGTCAAGAACAAATGGCGAGAATGCCGATGTAGCATGCGACCACTACAACAGGGTAGCCGAAGATGTAGGACTCATGTCCTCCCTCGGCGTTGACGTCTACCGATTTTCTCTGGCCTGGACACGCATAATTCCTCTCGGGGGACGCAATGACCCTATCAACGAAAAAGGTGTCGCTTTCTATGACGATCTCATCAACCGACTCTTGGCAAACAACATCGAGCCTGTGGTGACTCTTTACCATTGGGATCTCCCACAAGAGCTCTACGAAAGGTACAAAGGATTACTCGACACAGCTGAGTATAGAGCTGATTTCCAGAACTACGCCCGGATCTGCTTCTCTCGGTTTGGCGATCGAGTCAAGAAATGGGTGACCTTCAATGAGCCCTATATCATCTCGATCTTCGCGCATCACAGTGGCGTACTGGCGCCAGGCCGCTGTGCTGCCAGTGGTGCCAACACCAAGACAGAACCTTGGCGCGTCGGTCATACAATCATTTTGTCTCATGCCTCCGTGGTACAAGTTTATGCGGAAGAGTTTCAACCATCTCAGAAAGGAGAAATATCGATTGTTCTCAACGGACATTTTTACGAACCTTTTGAGGAAGGCAATCAGACCGACGTAGAAGCCGCTCAACGCAGAATGGAGTTTTACATTGGCTGGTTCGGAGACCCAGTGTTTCTGGGAACAGACTACCCATCCTCAATGAGAGCATACCTCGGCTCGCGCCTCCCTGAGTTTACGGCGGAAGAACGTGCTCTTCTTCGGAAGACTGCCCCAATCAACGCATTTTATGGTATGAACCATTACTCTACCAAGTACGCGCGTGCTCTGCCAGACCCCCCAGCAGATGATGACTGGACCGGCAATATCGAAGAGACGTCAGTTAATAAGCAAGGAGTGGAGATTGGACCCATGTCGGGCGTCCAGTGGCTACGACTTGCGCCAGAAGGATTCCGGAAGTTATTGAACTGGGTGTGGAATCGGTATCAGCTTCCCATCATAGTCACGGAAAATGGGTGTCCCTGTCCCGGTGAAATCGATGTTGATGTTGCGCGAAAGGATAACTTCCGTCAGAGATACTTTGGCCTCTACCTTGACGCTATATCTCGCTCCATTTATGAAGACGGGGTCAGAGTAGAGGGTTATTATGCTTGGAGCCTTATGGATAATTTTGGTAAGTTAACCCCCTCGAAGATCAGTATTCGCAAGTCGACCCGAATGGATCTAACATAGCCCAAATAGAATGGTCAGCTGGGTATGGTCCACGGTTCGGAATTTTTCATGTAGACTTTGAGACGCAGAAGAGGACGCCCAAAGGATCTGCCCTGTATTTGAGAGATACATTCCGGCGACGAAGAGGGTCACCCCACTAGCTCTGCTCTTCTTTTATGTTGCTAAGAACAATGCAAATGACACAGGAGTAGTGCAATTGACCATGAGACCGAAACCAGAATTAGACTAGTTTTTAGATGAATCATTGGTGGAACAACGGGATGTCGTTGTATAAAAAAGAATCGGAAAGCCGCTTGAGTTCAATAATGACTCTTAGAGGTATCCTGGAGCTCCAAAGTACGTATGAAATTCGCCCAGATCTTGCAGTCTGGCAAACACTTTCTCTCGTGATTGCAACATGCAGACATCTCTATTACGGTTTATTGGAAGATACCTTATTACGCCTTCAGGAGAATGGGTAGTCGGGGAAGATTTCCATTCCCACGACCGTAGGAGACTTTTGACCACATGGCATCCACTTGCGGAAGGTAGTATCGGGATAGACTCAGACGGAAACAGTTTTCAAAGAGGGGGTGCTATTGGCATCTAGCTTGTTGTTCATGAGTCCACAAGTCGAGTTAGCATCCTCGCATGCTGAGCCGTATTCCGTATTCATGGGCCCCAATTTTCATGAGCGACGCTGTCTCCAGAATAGCCCGAAAAGTTCGTATTAAGATCTTCACGCCAGATTTAGGTCCGAGAGTTTTCCATGATCATAAAGACGACTGCTGGTCGCTGAAATATGTGAGATTGAGAGCACGGCTATATAGATGTGTCACAACATTGTCGAGAAGCGAATTCCTCGATTTCACACAACTGTCTCAGCCATGTTATCTTCTATCCTCGCGGTTGCTCTCACAGCCAGCCTCGGAACGGCGGATACCGTACCTTCACCCCCACAACCGGAAGTATTCCATATTATTGAGCTACCTCTTCCCCCCGTAGCTCCATCTTCCGATGAAGGTTCTTGTACAACTTTGATCAACCCTCGTGGGACAGGATGCATCGCCAAAGCCGTCGGCGACTTTCAGGCGGGAGACTTCACACCGGATGGCAAAAATGTTATCGTCAACGTGGTCTTCACCGGCGCCCCTACAGCTCCCAACCCTGCAAGCATCTACGATGGGGAGCATGTTCTTCTCATCAAGGCAGATGGCACCAACTTCACCAACGGCGATCCATGGAAGTGTCTGAGCTGCGGTGTTCCCGCCGTCAACGCCATCTCCCTTGACCCCCAGAAGGACTATCCCCACGTCTTCCGCAGCGGCGACAAGGCGCTTTGGGGTCACAACATTCTGGACTGCGGCGGGGCGCCTCTGGAAAGCGATGCATGCACCCCGAACAAGACATACATCTACCCGATCCACTGGAACACTGCAGCCGATGGCTCGGGGAAGGGCGGCAGTCCTCGCGAAATGCGCCTGCACCCAGACGACGTTCATATGGGATGGAGCTCTTTCACCAGTACAGGCGGTCAATTCGCTTACACTGGCCGCCTCAATTTCAACGCTGAGCCAACTGTGGGCGAACCACTCGCCTCTCGCTATGATCTCGTCGACGTGAATTTGCTCTTCGACCCTACGCGCGCGAACCCCATCACAACCAATGGCTCCGAACTCATCATCCACAACAATGCTATCACCGTTGGCGAGCTGCGCGGTTTCAGCGGGAACGGCGAAGAGATCACCTATATCGGCAACCCCGTTGAGTCAACCAACATCGACGTCTTCGCCGTACATGTACAGACGGGCGCCGTCCGCCGCCTCACTAGCCACCCAGAATACGTGGATCCCATGGCCTTCTCCGCCGATAACGACTGGTTCGTTGCCATGGACACGCGAGGTACGAACCGCCAGATGTGGATGTCTGGCATGCGTGGGATCCCGCCCCTGATCGACCTCGTTGCTGTGACTGTGGCCGCCTCCACTCGCAACAACGGCCCCCGTCGCTTCTTCCAGCCAATCTTAATCGATCGCTACGGCGATCGCGGCGACTATTATGGTCAGCGGATCAACGCTGCGGGGGTCGAGAGCGGCGGCGCCATCAACGACCCGAACTGGAATGGCAGAGCGGACCCGGCCTTCTCCTTGGACGGAACAAAGATTACGTACTGGCAGGCTCTCGTGGTCTCCCCTTCATGTGGTGGTGCGAATCCCCTTCCTTGCCCCGAGTCTACGGCCCAAGGAGGCAGGGAGTATCGCGTGATGTTGGCTCAACGGATTGGTCGCGAGGCTACCTCGCCGGCGCCAATTTACAAGATTCCGGACGTGATCCCTTGGGCCACGCCATTTCCTCCGGGCACAGCTATCCCGGAGTCGCCGTTCACGGTCGAGCCAGGCAACTATACACTCCGTGGGAAGGTTTCTGGCATTGCTGGTGTAAGCATTGCTCCGGACTCTACTAATGTAAGCGGGCTGGGCAGCGTTGCAGTGAACTACACCAACTACTCGGATGATGGGGGGCACATCCTGAATGGCTTTGAGGACGTCACGGTGAAGATTCTTCTCCCCAACTTCTGGACGAATCAGGTTGACTGGGTTTCTGATATTGTTCAGACTGGGGTGGTCAATGGGACTAAGAAGACTAGCGAGGGGGGTTTTCACTTGATTATTGACGCGGAGCTGAACTTATTCAACGCGAGTGGGACTTTGGTCACCACCATCGACGGTGTTGAGTATAAGCAGCCTGCTAACGGTACTTGATCATGGAGTATGTTGTGCAAGAGGTGACATGTACTTTGGGATGGCGGGTTTATCAAGTAGATTACGTCTTCTCTTGCAAGTCGACTTCCAAATGACACCATTGTTCTGATTAATCAAATCAATTGCACCTTTCAGAAATCTGATCTTCCTTCTTCTTACCTGATATGCGAGTACTTGAGGGTACATGTAGACACTATCAACAAACTCTCAAAGTTTCAAGAGGAAATGTCTTCGCCATCCCCCTCTCGTAAACTTGACAACTTCAGTTCGACCTATGTCACCCAGTGTCTTAGTCCTTGTATCCTCATCAATGATCATGGTGCCATTCCCGGTTACTCGGGTAGCCTTTCCTCAAAGCACCCAACAGTCACCCAATTCCGGTCCATCTTTTGGAGAATTTTCGTACATTTTTTCGTACTCTCATCCAATGAGATATATGGACGTTTACTAGCCCCAACCACCACGTCGCATTGCATCGGAGGTCGCTACTGCATAGTAAAGCGTAACTGATGGCAGCCCAATGGGAAAGCCCCGTGTACGGCATACGGAAGATACGAACAGTCTCCAAGCTTGACATCAATCGTGTCAACGTCCCAATTAGTAAAGGATTATGCGTGCTTGTCCCAGGTACTAATTAGCGATAGCTTCGGTATCCTCCGTACTTGTTTATAGTCCGAAGCCTCGGAACGCCCGTCTTGGGTAAGTCCCCCCCCCCCCCAAAGTAACCTAGATCATCCCCGTGGGGTCCTCGCGGGGTCCCATACCCCGGATCATTCGTGATGAAAAGGCTTGGGAAAATAGACAACGAGCAGCGGACCCACAATACGAATGCGAGCAAATGTCCATGGCAGCGGACAGAATTGTCCATTCTTTGGGCAAGTCCATCACACTATCGTATACGAAGGTCTTTGGTGAGCTGGACACAAGACGTTGTTTGCAGACTGTTCCGATAGGTCTAGACCACCACCGTCGCGATGAAAATCGTTTCGTTTCGTGACAACACGTGCCGATGTGTCAAGATAAAAACCAAGCCAGATTCCGAAATAGAATAGCAATCATCATACCAAAAAGTTAGTAGCCATACTCTTTTCTGGTTTTGCCCTTTATCCTGCGCAGTAATGACATCTCCACGTGGAACTCCCAAGAAGCCGGTCGACAACGTGGCCTACGTTGAATACCCGGCGGATGATGGCCTGAAATTTAGCGACGCAGCTGTCGACGCGGCAACCCGCGGCCAAAACATTTCGGGATATGAGTCTCTATCCATATGGGAGACGGTCAAGCTCTTCAAGATCGCCTCAGCTGCGTGCTTCGCGGCGGCCTTCAGCGCCGCTACTGATGGCTATCAAATCGGGTACGTTTCACACTTTGCTCCTCCACGCGCATCCATTTTGCCCCAATCTCTAGTTTACATTGCTAACCCCGTCACTCCACCCACATCCAGCATGAATGCCAGCATCGTAGCAAATAAGGGCTTTGTCCGCCAATTCGCGACCCTTGCCGACGCCTCCGGAAAACCTTACCTTGACTCCCCCATCCTCTCGGGCTGGTCCTCCATCATGTCCGTCGGCCAGGTCCTTGGCATGACCACCATCCCCTTTCTCTCCTCTCGATTCGGCCGGAAGGTTGCCATGTACACCCTCTGGCTTGTCCTCGCCGTCAGCGTCGCCGTTGAGAGCGTCGCGCGCGCTTGGCCCGCCTGGCTCGTGGCAAAGCTCCTTGCCGGCGTCGGCGTCGGCTGCCTGCAGTCGACCCTCCCCGTCTACATCGCCGAGGTCGCACCCGTTCGGATCCGCGGCGGCCTGCTCATGTGCTACTCCTTCTGGTGGACCGTTGGCACCTTCTGCGCCCACGTCGCGCTACAAAACCTGAACAAGAACGAGCCATACAACTACTTGAACCCTATATACACGCAATGGGCGCAAATTGGCCTCATGATCCTCATATACGTCTTTCTGCCCGAATCCCCAGCTTGGTGCGTCAATCGTGGCGATGAGTCGCGCGCAAAGAAGTCTCTCGCCTGGTTATATCGCGGCGTTCCCGATTTCGACCTCGACCGACAGTACGCAACGTTGCTGATGACGGTGGAGCACGAGCGTTCCGTAGCGATGGAGCAGAAACGCGAGAAGTGGACGGCGATATTCCGGGGCACCGATGGACTGCGGACGCTGATCTCCCTCTGGACAAACTTGTCGCAACAGTTTATCGGCCTCACACTGTTTGCGACCTTTGGGACATATTTCTTTCAGCAGGCGGGGCTACAGGACCCGTTCCTTATCAAGGTCATCACATCGTCAATCAACATTGCCACAATTATCGTGACTATTTTCACGGCTGATTGGCTTGGTAGACGGTGGATCGCGTGCGGAGGCATCACGCTGTGCTGGGTCTCTTGCGCAGTCATCGGCATCATCGGCGTGAATAAGCAGGTCAGGGCGTCGACATACGTATTCGTGCTGTTCGCCTGCTTTTGGAGTAAGTTTTCGTCGTACAATTCATCAAAAAGGGGCGGACCTTTTGATCATTGTACACGTGCCTGCTAACAAGATTGTTTTTGAAGATATTGGCATGACGGCTAGCGGGGCGGCCGGTTGGGGATTCATCGGCGAGATCTCGTCGCAGCGGCTACGCCCCCACACAGCCGGCTTCGGTGCCGCCTGTACCTGTGTCATTGGTATCGTCATGAACGTTCTAGTGCCTTACAGTACGTTGATCAACTTCGAGACCAAGGGGTACTTGATAGAAGAAGTACTGACAAGATGATCTAGTGGTCAACGCCAATAAGTGGAACTGGGGTCTCAAAACAGGCTGGTTCTATGCTGGCGTTGGGCTGCCTTTCGTGATTGGCATCTGGTTCCTTATCCCCGATACCGCCGGGTAGACAATCCATCCTACACATTTTGCCAGCATAGTCACTTGCTAATACAAGCTCTTTTGCAGACGATCCGCAGCCGAGCTGGACGAGCTCTTTGAAAGAAAGATCAAACCGTGGCGGTTCCACAAGATTCAGACGGCCACACAGACTTTGGTCAAGCAACAGGAGTCGGAGCATCGCTGATTTAATCTGCTGCCGCAGGTCTCGCAACTACAGTGGGCAGCATGTGAGGGGTATTTCATCTTGGGAAAAAGCCAATTCGTGGAAGTAACGGCTATACAGTCAGCCATGTAGCAGTCAGTCTTGTTTCCCCACTATCTGCTGTTGGATCGGACTTCTGTGCTCCTGGTCTTCCCTACGGATCACTGTTCTTGAGCACTCTTGTCAGCACATATAAGCTTGTCAATGACCCTGTCATGGCGCAGCTACTCCGCTTATTATGAAGTATTTTCACTATTCATCATGCGAGGACGCTTTCCTTACTGGAAGTCTCCTATCCAGCGCTTTCTACGTTCCTTCGTATACTTGATATGTAATGAAAGTCTAGATCGTTCATCATCCTAATCGTATAATACCTCATCTGCTCGCATTCTCTCTAAAATCAGCCAAAGTAGAACGCTAACTCAAAATATACCCGTATAACTTATCCGAGGATATTATTTAGAACTAAGTGGTAGATACGCCAATGGAGTCAAAAGACGAGATTCAGAGGACACCCCTTCACTGGGCCTCTAAATCAGGAAATCTCGACTGTGTACGAAAGCTTCTCGACAAAGGCGCCGATGTGGAACCAAAAGATCGCGATGGTATGGCGGCGCTTCATTTTCCTGCCGAGTCGGACTACTTGGACGTCGTTGAGGTACTTCTCCAACAGGATTCGAACACCAACTCGGTGGCACACAAAAGACAGACACCATTGATGTTAGCGGCCAGAGCTGGTCAAAGAAAAGTTCTTGAGGTTCTTGTTCAACATGGCGCCAAGTGTGATTTACAAGGTGCAGAGGGCAGCACTGACTTGGAACATGCAATCAAAGGGTGTCGTTCCGAAGTTATCCCTCGCGTCATCAAGACTCTAGTCAGGTTGGGTGCTGAAGTAGACGCCCGCGGGAAAGCGGGGCGTACACCTCTATTGGCCGCTGTTAGTGATAAGCATATCGGACCTGCGCTCCCAGCTGTGAAGCAATTGCTTGATTGTGGCGCAGAACTTGAAGCCACAGACTTGTGAGACAGAATAACATGGGAATTGGCTTCTTGTTAGGGCCGTGACAATTTAGCCGAATTTCTGCTATGGATCCGAAGATCGCGTAGGCTGCATGTTCCTGAATAGTACACATGGCCTCTTGAAAGTCAATTTTTGCAGCTAGCCGGATACGGCCCGTCTCTGATATTCATCCTTCGTCGTAGTTGAGTAGTCAGTACCGGGGTATTTTCTAATCAAGTATACAGACCTATGGTGTTTTCTGACGGGAAATTCGTATGCCACAGGAATCGCCTTCGTTGCCGTGATCGTAACCCGTAGTTAAGCCGCCTGGCACGTTCGCAACACACCTTCACCCGCAGCTGGAACCGCGGACGTAAGCATGGTTCTGCTGACCACCTGCCGAGTTGCCATAAGCAGACCCTTGATAACTGCTCAGTAAACTACAGCTTGTGCTACTGCCCTGATAGAATGAAGCAGCGACACACGCTGAGTTTGCAGCACACTTCGAAATGCAATCACCCAAGCTTGTGGCATCGACGTAGCCAAGATAGTCTCCGGAGGCAAGCCTTCCGCAAATGATCTGGAACTTCTTCGAACTCAATGTCCAGCAGTAGCCGTTGTTTGCGGAGCAAGTTGGGTTGCTGGTCACCGTACCTGCGCATGCTGAGCCAGGGCAGGTTGAACACGTCCCTAGTGAAAAAGATGTCTGGCATCCAAAGCCACAGAAGTCGTCGCCGGTGTTGCAGTATCCATTCTTCGAGCTATAAGATGTCAGTGGTCTACTAATGCAGGAGTATAGGAAGAAGTATTGTCTATGACTTACCAACACAAGCCAGAAGGGCATGTATAGCCATTGGAGCCACCACAAGTGTTGTCTGGACTCATCTTGACGCCAGTGGATGCAGGCTGCGCTGCTGAAGAAGAGGCTGCAGCCCCTCCGCCTGAGGACGCAGAGCAGGTTCCAAAGGATGACTGGCAGCCGGTGCTGCAGTGATCGGTAGACGAGCCACAATATCCCCACTGACTGCAGCAGTCACCGAAGTTGCTACCTCGACACGTGTTTCCACCTGTTCCACCGCAGGTTCCATCCTGGCTGACCGTCTTGCCACCGTTGGTGACGGAGCTGCAGTCACCAAACTTTGACTGGCAAGAGTTGAGGCAATGGGCATCTGTGTTGCCGCAATATCCCCACTGGCTGCAACAGGTTCCGAAAGTGCTTCCCTTACAGGTGTATCCCGCGGTGCCGCCACAGGTGCCATCAGAGCTGACCTTGCCGTTAGTGCTGGTGCTGCCGCTCCCGCTGCTGCTAGAGCCAGTTATGCATTTGCCGAACTTGGATTGACATCCTGTTCCGCAGTGTGCGTCAGTTGTTCCACTAGTGTACCAGGTCAGCTTTTGTAATTCTTCGCAGTCTCGTCTATCATCATCGAGGTTAACCTTACCACCAGTTGTATTGACTACAGCATTGAGATCCTGGACAGGTGTAACTGTTGGAACCTCCACAGGTCTGATCTGGAGAGGTGGCCGCTGCAGCGATCCCCGCCAAGGACAGCAGTCCAACAATGGCGATTTTAACCATTCTTCACAAGACGACAAAGTATTGATGTTGATGGACCTTATAACAAAGAAAGCCGCGGTCTGCGTTAGGGGCTGATAGAATTGACGACAGTCTAGTCTGGATGACACGGTACTTAAACCTCCCAACTTTTGAGGCAGCCTCTAATTGGAGATTTTGGTGCTATTTGGGCGGTCATCGCTTGCGGATGCATGCGGCGGTCATGGGAACATTCCCAGGCTCTCTAGAGCGGATCTTCGATACGGAAATTTGGTTTCTAGCTTCACTCCAGTCTGCACCCCATATGATCCGTTTCCGGTCATCATGGTCCAGAGCTGGTCACTTCACCCGTCCAAAAAGAGTCGAGATGAATTCTTCGGCCGGATCTGTCCGATCTATGCGGCCGGCCCGAGGAGATGGCATGGCTATCGTCTCCAAGATCGGATCTACAAGATTAGTGCTGCCGCTCACGCCGCTCTAGATTTCCGAGAATTTGACTTGCCTTTAAGCGGAGCTACAGGGATGTGCAGGTGTAATCAGGTGTTGACTGAAAACGGAAACAGATATCGAAAGTAACAAAATGGCTTCAGTCTAGAATACGTGCCGCAGAAATGGAAAAGATTAGCGCACTTGTGGTGATCGAATGGATGTTGCCGTCTGCTGATGTATGCAGTCATCCAGCCGGCTGGGTGCCTCGTGCCTGCGCGCTTCGTCTGATGACAAGCAGATGTCTCAAACCTTCACTGTTGCTTTCTTCGGCTCAGCTTCAAGCCACCTCCACGCTTTGTCCAACTAAGGTTTGAGATTTCCATGTTGGTGTTCAACCTCATTTCCAACGTCAATGTTAAATTTTTTTTCTTTGATCCTCTGCTAGTTGAGGGACGTTCCTCCCCCAAACACTTCTTCTCAGGATCCGAATACAAACAAGTCACGCTGTAGTTCTCCGGGGACTATCGCGCCAAGTCTGGGGATTTCCAGGGCTCGACGGCGTGATCCAGGCCATGATAGGGCTGTGGTAAGCGGCTTAGTAGCGCTGGACCGTGCGACGGTGCTCTGGACAAGGCAAACATCTTCAGCGCTCAACTGAATCACGAATATTCTCAGTTTCCAACAAAAGCATTCCTCCTATCCCTGACATAAGGCTGGTACTTCAGCTGTGAGAGGACTTGTGCGTGGAATGGTAAAATGCATCGGAGTTTGCTTGTATGCAGGATATCAAGTCGCGGGTCGATCGCTGCAGACGCGTTCTTGTTCTACGATCCATGTCTCTGCCAGAGAGTGTGGTTACGCCGAACGTAAGTGATTGCTGAGTATGCGGCGAAATGTCTCCAGTGGATTGGAATACGAACTTGAAGAGTAACTCTAATATTATGAGGCACTCATCAGCGCAACGCATGGTAAGGACACAGGATGGGATCCCTAGCAAGCCGACTGGCAGCATATACACAAATTTCAATGCGGAGATCCAACAATCGGAAGGGTGGCCGAGTTGGTTATGGCGCCAGGTTAAGGTCAGCTTAACATCTGTTTCCTGGTGGGGCAACCCGCGCGAGTTCGAGTCTCGTCCCTTTCATTTTGAAGTTTTTGACGGGTCTGACGACTTTTCGGTCTTGTACCATCAAGGTCTTGCTGCTCCTGGTCGTTAGTCAAACCCTTTGTTACCAAGATAAGTGGAGGGCTCATATCTTATGCCATTGGAAAGTGTAAGGCCGATGTGAGTAGACCTTCTTTTGTTTCTTCCCACAAGGCGAAGTTGAGCGTTTGAAAAGGAAATTGGTCAGTCTCCAAATGGCGATTCCCATGTGCTAGTGGATGGGCTTTATCACTGGAGCTTGATGTATTTGAGATTGGGACTCAATCCACTTCGACAGACTTTTATTGCTGCCTAATAGGTCTTACCATGTCTGAATGAAGTTGGCTATCTCGATCTTTGGCCGTGCTTAGTCTCTATCAGGATCTCGGAAACATACTATGCCGCAGTCCTTGAGTATCAAACGCTACAAGATACCTTGAATTTCATCTCACATGATAATTCATCCCATGAGCCAAAAGCGCAGGATTTAAATCCCGTCAAGCAACACTATTCCCACGCAGTGAGGCATTAGACCTGCCAGACAGCGCCCAGCTACTGCATTCATCGGAATGCCTTATTTTTGGCCATGTATGAAATTAAGGAGGTGACTATTCCGATCTTTTCACATGGACAGCAGGAAATCCTGTTCCAAATGTCTTTGCCAAGATGAAACAACAAATTGACGCAATGAACTGTTTTGCCAAGCCTTAAGGCTCCGCGGGCAATGCATCGACTATCCTCAATGTCACGGCAATTTACAGCCCCGAAGGTGCACACTGACTCGAACGGTCGCCTGCAAACTTCACGAGCTAAGTGCCGGCATGTATGGTGGCCCGGGAGGAATAGTCACTGCTGATAAGCTTTCTGCTAGTGGCAAGAGTGTGCTTCTAATCGAAAGAGAACCTCCATCATCTTTCAGATGGGGCGGAAGTAAGTCAATAAAGATCGCTGTGCCAACTACGGTACCAAGCTCTGACAATTGTGTGTAGGGCGGGGAGGGGCCTGGCTTGAGAATTCCAATCTTACAAGGTTCGACGTTCCTAGGCTTTACGGGCACATATGGCAAGATAGCGCTGGCATCAAATGTCTGGATGTTGTTCCCATGGCAGGCTGTGTTCTCGGCGGTGGAACTGCTATCAACGTGGGCCTTTGATTCAAGGTTAGTGCATCTTTTCTGTTTCCTATTCAATCTTCTTTGGCCGTTACTAACATTCTGTAGCCTTCAAAGCTTGGACTGGGATACACAGTTTTCCGATGGCTGGAAGGCCAAGAACCTGTCTGCTGTCACAAACCGAGCCTTCAGGCGTGTTCCGTGGACTGACGTCCCTTGCAAAGATGGTGTCTTACACAACCGTCAGACCAGAGACCTAATGATGAAGGGGCTCGTCGAAAACGGATGGAACAGTGTTAAGGCAAACGATGAGCCAGATGCCAAGAGAAGAACCGTTTCCCAATCAGAGTACTTTTACCAGCATGGCGAGCGAGGTGGGCTCTTGGAAACCCATCTTGTGTCAGTAGCAGCTCGCGGTAACGTTAAGCTCTGGACGAACACACTCGTCACTAGAGTGGAGAGAAGGGGAGATAGTGTCAGTGGTGTGCAAGTAGAGTCTGCTGGCGAGGGCGGTTACGATGGTACCATTAAACTTGCTGTTGGTGACCGAGTCATTCTTTCTGCTGGAGTATTTGGCTCAGCTAAGATTCTGTTTCGGAGTGAGTGTTCCCCTCTCAATCCAATGGCGAGATGACTGCTAACACTCTCGAAAGGTGGGATTGGCCCGAAAGATCAGCTAGAGACTGCCCAGAAAACCGAAGGCGACGTATTCATCGACTCTACCCAGTGGATTGATCTTCCGGTCGGTCACAACCTCGACGACCATGTGAACGTAATACTTGCTTCAGCGTAGTATAATTAAGTTAATCCTCCTCAGACAAACATTCTCTTCGAGTACCCAGGCATAGCCAACTACGACTTCAATAGCACTTACGACAATCCCAGTCCGGATGACGCTGCAGCATACCTATGTGAGATAACAGACCTCTCCATGCGAGATGGTTTGACATTATTGACTGACAGTGATCTTGCGGCCAACCGATCAGGCATACTGACCCAAGCAGCCCCAGACAATAACCCCATCTTCTGGGATGCGGTCAAAGGAGAGGATGGCATCGAAAGAGGGTTTCAATGGATGAGCTATGTTAGCGGGCCGCATAAAGGCAAGACATACAGTGCATAGTCATTTTCTGTTCTCAGATGATCATTACTGATACCCACAGATACTTCTGGCATGGCAGCTGCCCTTGGACTCGGCAAGACTTCGAGGGGTCGCGCCACAATCAACTCGTCCCTCATTATGAACGTCAGTGTGTTTTCTTACTTCAATGACGAAGGGAATCTCGACTTTGTGACTGTTGTAACCACAGTCAGTAGAGTTATCAAGGCAATTCCATCCATTCCTGGCGCTACAATGATCAACCCCGCCCCTAGTCAAGACGTGCGAGACTACGTCCAAAAGGTGAGTCAATCTTACTTTTCGCTCGGAAGTCGATATGAAAGCAAGTACGCTGAACATATTGTGTGAGTAGTTGTTTGTGGATATTGGCCGTACTGCCAATCACTGGGTTGGAACCACCCGTCTTGGAACCGACTCTGCTCTGGAAGGTGGTAAACCCGTCGTTGATCTCAACGCGCAAGTCTATGGAACGAAAAGCCTGCACATTGTTGACGCAGGAATACTCAATGGGATTTTCACTGCGAATTCGCAAGCTGGATTTGTTATTGCTGCCGAGAAAGTAGCCAAAGAGATTATCAAATTGCATGGATAAACGAGCTCCCAGAGTTTCGGCAGCGTGTCTACATGTAGCGGTGGTGGAGATTTAAGAGGCTCGCTCGATTGTTTAAGGTTAAGTTATCCTGGCTTAGTATGTAAACCTCGGTAATTGTCGCCTGGCAGACAAGCTTTCTGACCCGACGGGCTACTCCGGACTGATTGCCTGCCTTCGTGGGTGACACTTTAATATCGTGCCGCGATTATGGCTGTCATCATCGTCTCCGTGATTCGTGAAGACTTTGAATTCGACGCAATCACGTCCAGGCAAGGATGGCCTCAGCACTTGAAGTTCATCGATCCCAGAAAACTCGTAGCCATACGCGCAGCTTGTACCCACGTCCGCGTTTCCACAGGCTTGTCTAGCAGCAGCTCAAGCCCCAGACTCAACCGGATCTCGGCACGAACGCCTGGAGCTCGAAAGTGACATCCTTAGCGCATTTGCAACTCATTTCCATGTTCAGATGACCTTCCTGTTTGGTGATCGTTCTTACATTTGTCCCCCAATCTCGGGGCTCGAATTCAGCCGCCCGAAAAAGCTTGAAATCTCTCGTACGGCTTACCAAGATGAATGATTCAACGTGTAATTCGTCACCAACCCGAGATTCGATGATCAGAGCTCATCCAGTTGCTAGTGGCACCGTGCTGTGGTAGCAAATCTTTGAAGTCCTGATGCCCTTCAAGCACTAGCAGCATCATTGTCGCTATTGTCGCGCCAGATTGCGAGTCATAGCCCGACTCGCAAGATTTCTCGCATCCTGAAGCAGAATGGACGCTGACTCCGTGTGAACTTACGATAGCACCCCAAACTTGCCGCCTAGGCGCATCAAGGGATCCTTGGCTGGATTGGCAGCACCGCATAGTAAAACACTAGGCGAGTTCGTCCAACAAGAGGTTCCTGAACCGTCGACTTGCAACTTCATCAATCGTCGCAGCCGCTATGGACAACTTCACGACCATCGCCGAATGCGAGGGGTCTTTTGGCCCCGCTGCAACCGTATGCAGCGATCGATTTGACTTCACCCTACTCTTCGAACAATCTATCATGAACATTGGTCCGTCTGCAGTATTGCTTCTGGCCCTCCCTTTCCGGCTACAGCAGCTTCTTCATCAACGCCGCAAAGTCCTACGACATCCCTTGAATGTCGCAAAGATCGCCACCTGCATCATCTTTGGCGGACTTCAGATCGCCTTGCTCGCGCTATGGACGCAAACACCGCTCTCCAACCGCGTCTCTATCGCTGCCGCAGTCCTCGGCGTTCTAGACGCCTTAGCCCTTACTCTCCTCAGCCATGCAGAACATCTCCGATCAATCCGACCGTCCACTACGATCTGTGTCTACCTGGCGTTCTCGCTCATCTTTGACGCCCTACAATGCCGCACACTATGGCTGCTTCCCGGATTGCACAACTTGGCCAGCGTCTCCTGCGCAGCGCTGGCAATGAAGTTGACGATGTTTCTTCTCGAAGTGCAAGGCAAACGCACATTCCTCCTCGCTGCTCTGCGCCACTTGAGCCCCGAGGCCACGAGCGGCATCATCGGCCGCGGTTTCTTTTGGTGGCTCAACAGCCTGCTAGGGAAAGGATTCAAGGCCACCTTATCTCCGTCGACACTCTACGACATAGATGATGATATGCGGTCCGAGCCCCTGCTCCAGAACGTCAACATCGCGTGGAATGAACGAAGAGCGCATGGGAAGCGGGCCCTATTACGCTCGATCTTCAGCACGACGAAGATGGCTTTTTTGGTAACAGCAGTACCCAGACTCTTCCTGATTGGATTTAAGTTCTCGCAACCGTTTCTCATCAACCGAATCATCAAATACGTCGATGGGGACCGCGGATCTGATTCCAAATCTGTTGGGTACGGTTTGATAGCTGCGACGGGCCTAGTCTACCTGGGCAATGCGGTGGGTTACAGTGAAGCTGCTCGGTTGTAGTTCTCTCCGCTGATACGGCTCGTCTTGTGTTAGTTGTCGACAGGTTTCTACCAGCACAAGCTCTTCCGTTATATCACGATAATCCGTGGATCTTTGGTTTCCCTCATCATGTCCAATAACCTCGAGTTAGACACAGCGAAGGCCAGCGATCCGTCTGCGCCATTGACTTTGGTCAGCACCGACGTGAGAACCATTTGCAGGTCGTTCGAAACGATTCATGAGGTGTGGGCAAATCCCATCGAGATAGGCATTGCCATATGGCTACTTCAAAGACAGCTTGGTCTTGGAAGCGTTGGACCGGCTGTAACCATTATCGGTAAGTACCTGTTTTGAACTGAAGTATGATGCTTTTGATCTAACATCGACTTGAGCTTGCACAATTGGTATGGCGAGGTTGTCGAAACTTATGCCTCGAGCCTCGAAGATTTGGAACGAAGAAATCCAAAAGCGCATTACAGTCACTTCGGAAGTTCTTGGTGCAATTAAGGAGACGAAGATGCTAGGAATGGTAGGCTTCCTTCAGCGTGCGATTCAAGACCTGAGAGTGGCAGAGCTGCGCAGAGCAAAGCAGTATCGCCGGTTCATCACTTATATGAACATGCTCGGTAAGCTTGAGGTTCTTAACCTTTTTATATCACAAGCTGACACCTCGATATCCAGGCAACGCCCCATCAATGATCGGTCCTGTTGTCACTTTTGGCCTTGCCATCCTTGCGCAGAAGATCAACGCCGGGTTATCACTCTCTATCGCCACTGTCTTCACTTCTCTGACCATCATCGACTTAATTGCTGGGCCTCTTGCGCAGCTCATCACCTCGGTACCGAGCTTAGTGGCATCTTTGGGAAGTTTTGAGAGGATTCAAGCCTTCCTTGAACAGGGTAGGCCATCAACGGTCACAGATCCTGATTATCTTGAAGCTGCAAGCCACTCTGACGACCTTGGGCATGCCGGAACTGATCATGGCATAGAGATGGGTACGATACAGCCGAAAACGTCGTCCGAGCCATCGTCCGAGCAGAGAGATATCGCGACAGTTCAAAACGGTTCGTTCAGGCTCAAGGCTGACGAGGAACCCATTCTGCGCGATATCAACCTCCACATTGCGCCTTCCACCATGACTATCGTGATTGGCAGAATTGGCTCGGGGAAGACCACCCTTCTTCGGGGACTCCTCGGCGAACTTTCGACTAGCGGGTCGGTCAAGACTCTTGAAGGTCCTGTAGCGTATTGTGCTCAGACAACCTGGCTGACGACAGCAACCGTCAAGGAAAATATTCTCGGTGAGACACCGACTGATGAGGACTGGTACGAAAGGGTGGTGCACGCTTGCGCTCTCGTACCCGACTTCTCTCAGCTAGCAAACGGAGATCACACAGTGGTTGGAAGCAAAGGCCAATCCCTGAGCGGAGGTCAAAAGCAACGGGTTGTAAGTTAATATTCCTCATCTTGCTGTCAATCGTGCATAATCGCTCACTGGCTTTGACAGGCTCTGGCGCGAGCAGTATTCTCTAGGAAGCCTGTCCTAGTTGTTGATGATGCGTTGAGCGGGCTGGACAACGCTACCCAGACTCACATCTGGGACTGTCTTTTCAGTCCACGAGGACTTGTCCGCCAATATGGGGCAACCGTGATCCTAACAACACACTCACGTAGGTGGAAACTCATATACCCCCGGCAAGATTTCACAAAATAGGCTTTGTACTCATACTGTCTGCAGTGAAATATCTCAAATTTGCGGATCAAATCCTCATCCTAGGCGATGACGGATATATTGCCAGCCAAGGCAATTTTGACACTATTCGGGAGAGCGCCTATCTTCAGAGCCTTTCTTTCGTGGATGCGCAGCCCAGTGATGCAAAGGACGCTGAGACTACTTCAGTCGCAGGATTTCGACAGCAAAGTCAACCACATACCAAAGGGGTAGAGGCTGAATCAGAGCAGGACCTCCTGAGAAAGGCGGGCGACACTACCCTCTACTGGTACTACCTGAAGTCCATCGGTTGGTGGTATGGCTCCGCCGGTGCGATATCCTTAATTCTTGACTGCTTCTTCCGAGTCTTCCCTCGTAAGTTCATGTTCCCTTCAAATAATTGTATCGACTTTTCTGACCTCTGATAGAAATTTGGCTCAAGATCTGGACAGAGGAGGACGCAAGGACCGGTTCATCAGACACAGGCTTCTACTTCGGAGTCTACTCTGCGATTTCTGTGGTGGGCTTGTTTGTTATTGGCGTCAATATCTGGTACATTGCCAAAGCATATTCCTGACGACTGACAATCCCGGCTCTGCTAACAGAGGCCTACAGGATCATGTTCGTTCTGATCGTGCCTAAGTCTTCTCAAAGCTTGCACTGGACACTTCTCCAGTCTGTCATGAGGCGGGTCACACTTTGCCAAACTGTGGTGCACGTCGTTGCTTACTACTTTACAGGGCCCCGTTGTCGTTCTTTGGATCAACAGACACCGGCGACTTGATCAACAGGTAATCATATCAGAATCATCTCTAAAGCTGTAGATGCCTAACATGTTTTACAGGTTCAGTCAGGACTTGTCTCACATTGACCGAGATCTTCCTACAGCGTTGTTCATGACCTCAATCGGTGAGTGGCTTGTCCCGGGTATCAGCGAGACTACGTAGCTAATCCCTCTCAGCTGTGCTTGATTGCTTGGCAGGAGCTGTCCTGATTGTCATTGGTGCCAAATATCTTGCAGCTGTCATCCCGTTCGCCTTGCTCGCTCTCTACTGCCTACAGGCTTTCTACCTCAGGACTTCTCGCCAGATGCGATTCCTCGATCTTCAGGCGCAGGCTCCTCTTCTGACCAAGTTGATCGAGACCATCGATGGCCTGTCAACCATCCGCGCCTTCGGCTGGCAAACTGCCTTCCGAGAAACTTCACTTGAACTCTTGGATGAGTCCCAGCGGCCGTACTATCTGATGTTTTGCATCCAGCGCTGGCTCACTCTGGTTCTCGACATTCTTGTCGGTGCTATTGCAGTATTGCTGGTCTCAATGGCCATGATGATACCGGACGCGACTAGCACCGGAGCCATTGCCATTGCGCTATACAATGTGCTCAACTTCAACCAATCTCTGGCAACTCTGATTACCTCTTGGACAGAGCTCGAAACATCCCTAGGAGCAATCTCGCGTTTGCGAACCTTCGTATCTCGAACACCAATCGAACCAACGGCTGAAGTGCTTGACAAAATCCCACGCCAATGGCCTGCACATGGCCAGGTCGAGATACAGAATATCACGGTGTCTTACTCCGCGGAAACGAGACCGGTACTCAAGGGAGTTTCGCTATCTATCCAGCCAGGAGAGAAGGTTGCCATCTGCGGGCGCACAGGCAGTGGCAAATCGACCCTCACTCTCTCTATCTTCAAGCTTCTTGGCCTCGACGCAGGGAAAATCCTGATCGATGGTGTTGACATTGGCAGTGTTCCAAACGATGTGCTCCGCCGATCACTCATCGCCATCCCGCAGGAGCCGCTCCTCTTGCCCGGAAGCCTGCGCACGAATCTGTTCCCCTTTAGCGACGACACAACCGCAGGCGAGGCGCCGTCCGATGCTGACCTCATAGATGCCCTGACCACGGTCTCACTATGGTCAGCCATCTCCTTGAGTGGTGGTCTCGACACGGATGTTTCCAACCTACCACTGTCCAAGGGCCAAAAGCAGCTGTTGTGTCTAGCCCGGGCTATAGTCAGGAAGAATTCTAGCAAGGTCCTGGTTCTTGATGAAGCTACCAGTGCCGTCGATCAAGAAACCGAAGACATGATGGCTAGGATCATCGAGAGCGAGTTCGTTAATCATACTATCATATCTGTGGTTCACCGTCCTCAGGCCCTCCGTGACATCGATAAGATTGTCACCTTGCAGGACGGCCGGGTAGTAAGCGTGGGGTCTGCAGAGAACTAGGAATAACGCGGGCTTTAGAATGCAGGAGCGGGAAAGATATATCTAGACAATATCAATGACAAATAGGATAAGTTTGGATCCCGGTTGTTCATTGTTTTTTTCTTGGCGGTCAGCTGTTGGTTCTCACCGTGGGCTCATAGGCCTAGTTCCCTGTGTATTATACGGTAATTTCCAGAGCGGAACTCCTTGGTATTGCGTCTTCGGCACGATCCGCCGGGTGGCTATCCGCCCTGCGATGCCACCAAGGCTTTACTTCGCATTGGCCATTATGATGAGAACCAGGATGTGCAAGGGGGTCTTCAACGTCGATCGCTTTTCTGTTGCCGCAGTTGAGGTTTGCTGGTTGCGTCAAAGTTGCCGAGGATCTTAATCTGACATGCGTGAAGATGACTTGAAGTCTAAGAAATGGCGTTACTTTTTCACATAACTAAACAATAACGCCTTCGGAATTTCTTTCATTCGACCCATGTACCTTGATAAGTGGCTAATATCATGCGTACTTGCACACTGATAGCCTATCATTTATATTGCGTTTCGTGTGATCCGAAGTCTCATTGTTTAGTGCTATACTCCACCGTGATTGTCTTCGTCTGGACAATATTGTTTCCTCGCATGATGGCTTTCTCTGATGAATCATCCTCTGTCGGATCACCCTCGGTATGACCAGTCGCGATAGTAGCTGGGTTGTTGGACCCCATGCTGGCCATCACAAATGCCTCGCCATTGTTGTCGCGATCAAATTGCGAATACTCGGCTCTATTCCGCGTCCCATTTGTACCACCGATAGTCATTCGTGATATGGGCTTGCTTCCAGTACCACCGACAGTCTTGGTTCCCTTGCCATATGTGCTTTCGCCGATGATCTTGGGTGCGACGTGTCGGAAAAACTTGCGTAAGGTCGGCAGAGAGGCGCAAATTACGACTAGGTTCGCTTCAACGATACTGAAAGATCGATTTGTCAGAAAATACAGCCACGGATATTGGGGATAGGATCAAAGGAGGCCGAGCTTCACTTACATCCATAAACTGGCCCATGAGATGACCCAGCTTTGGTCCATGCTTGTAAGCATGGCTGGAAGGAGAGAAACGCGGACGATCGAAGTGACGACTGTACTACACGTCTTGTTAGCTTCGCCAGAGTCTCGCTACGTGTACCATCATCTTGAAGAATAGTGGCGATGCCAACATACAGTGACCCAACTGCGAAAATGAAGAACAGCCCAACTTTCTGCCTACGCGGAATCTGTAACTTCACAACGATGGGAATAGGAAGCGCGAAAAGTATCAAGTCCGAGATGATGTTTGCCGCAGCAGTCGCAATGTATAGTGATGGTCGGTTGATGCATGTGCCTTCCGTGATGGTAACGTCCCAGCTCATTGCGATTGGATCACAGGCGAATACCAGAGCAAAGAAGATGCCGATACTGTAACCGGCAATGATCGCAAGAGAAATCCACACAGCTCGTTTGAACCATCTCTGAGGTGATAGTCGGAAGTAAAATATCAAGAGAGAGACTTTAGCGAAACTTCCACAGAGGGTATAGATGGCGGCGGCGAGGAAAACATCCTGCATGACGATTACGTTAGCACACCGGGCTCGCAAAAGAACATCCTAGTCTCCAAAGACGGAATGAACAGACGGTGAGATCCGGTCCCACTTACCATCATGTATATGTTGTACTTTTCGATAGAGATCTCCCATCCGTGGACACCTCCAGACCCATATGCAAACATATCTACCGAGGGCTTGTCAGCAACAACCTAGCCGACCATCTCAGCTTGGCATTTTCACTCACGAACACATAATCCAATGGTAGCGATAGAGGTGAACTATGATACAGTCAGCGAGACTGTTCTCAACAAGTTGACCAAGCTTGTCAGCGTTGTGTGGCTGGGCTTGAGGCTGCACGTTGCTGCAAGTCGCGACCCGGTGTCCGAGATACTGGGACTTACCCAAGCCAGAAGAAGAAAGACTGCCAAGACCAAGCGTTAGTCCACGCAGCTTGATAAGGCGCTGCTTAAGATATGATGAAAGTCAAGTAGTGATGATACAGGATAGTGTAGGAAAGGAATCTCATGGTGCTGTTTGTTGGGTATTCTTACCATCGTCCCACTGCAATCGACCGATCAAGAAGGCTTTCGTGTACAGCCTTTGCGCCATGAGCAAAACACTGAGAAGTGTACCAAATCCAGCGACATAGTAAGCTTCGGGTACAGCCTGCCGCTGTGGGTTGTCGAAATTGACCACATAGCCTTCAGGAGGCGGAAGAACAGTGACAACGCCCTTCACCACTGGCATGGCTTGGATATTACGAGTCGGATGGCCAAGCTGCTGATTCCGTGCTGATGCTTGCGGTGAAATGTGTCACTCAACAAAGTCGATCAAGTGGCAGGAACACAGTATCATAAGTATGGGGGCGCCCGGTGGCTTAAAGGAGATTACATCCTTCGGGCGAAAGGTATTTTCGGACGCCATGGTCGTTATGTACCAAACGATACGAGAGCAACCGTGGAAGTATTAGTTTTAGCATGTATTATTCTCGACTCCTTGACACCAACACTCTTTGCACATCGTATCTAGAATGTGATTCGCAAGCATGTTCACGTTTATGTTAAACCTGAGCTTTGAAGAGCGGAAGAAGGGAGTCCACATCCTCGGCCCCCCGTACTTCCTGATGCAAAAGGCCCTGTTCTTGTTCCACCGTCCTGCAGTCACAAATTTCTGTTGGAACCAACGCCGTAATATCCTTGACTAGCGGTTGGCCAAGATAATTCTGCGCGATATCACTTCATCCGGCATTCTGGCCCGAAGAACAGCACGAAATTGTCGATGTTTCCACTTTTACCTGTCGCTCAATAAACCCGGTCACAGGGATGAATTGTGTTGGAACTAGGGTCTTGTGAAGTTGAGACAAATCCTTCGTCCTCTCTTTCGGCGAAATGCACGAGAGAATTCAGGAACCGCGTGGCGGAACCGACGACCAGGTCGTTCGATTAAGTATCTCGAGGCTCAAATACACTCGCATAAATGCGCCTCGTGCCTGCAGTTCTTGGCTGCAAGAGGCTGCATCTCAATTTAAAATGTCTTGGGAGTTATTTGCAGCATTTCTTCTCACTTGCCACTTGTCGGGTCTTGATCTCCGGTCCGACCGCTTTCCGTGCCACTATGTGAAAGGAAGTTGTAGCAATGGCAAGTTCGATCGATGCCTCTTTTGCAAGGTCGCTTGGATGAAGAGGTATAAGATGCTGATAATTCCGGAGAAAGAGGTAGCTTCAGCCTTCCAAATGGACAACGCCGATCAGACTTTGTCCTAGCATACCTTCGTCACCTTGCATTGTGGCGCTGTATCTGATAGCACCCGTACCGTCGATGAGCTACCCCGGATGATGGCGGGGGCTAAATCGTTCGATGCGGCATGGCCCCCCGTGATCGGCTCAGTCCGTCGAAGCGTGGGTCAGTAAGCATTTTCATCTGGCCCTGGCCGAGGCGATGTTGGTTGCTCGTTGTTGTCGGCGTAATGCCTGTAAGTTGTCAGGGTTTCCAGAAGGATGGGCTTACGCGGAGGGCACGGAATCGAACCCCAGTGCCCGGTAGCAAGTCAATTTCTTCCCCGACAGCAAGGCCCAGGATCTTGGGTGGGACGACGGAGCTTCGGTGACTGGGATGGTATTCGGTTACTTCCAACAACATCGAGCAACGTTGTGAAAAGACATAGGATGGGAAGAGGGAAGAGAGCAACAGGGGTTGAAATCGCACCAACGATATTCTGTGCTGCCAGACGGGGGAAAGAAGCATGTTCGCCAAGTCTCCAACGCAAGGTTTGCAGCAAACTTAGCCACATGCAATGGATGCTACCCACCCTTGCCAGAACTGAAGACTGGACCGATAAACATCACATCGATGACAACTGGACGGTGCAAGCCGTGATGAGGGGCTGTCTTATTCTACACTACTGCATCACGGCAGTAATGTCCCACCTTCATCTCAGTCCTTCGTTTGTCCAGGCCCTTTCATGGACCAATATTCCATTTTGGGCTTCTTGCGGTCCACCGTGCTGGATTGCAGCTCCGAGGTTGCTTCAGGACAGGGTAATATAAGGACAAGCTGACGGCTTATCACAGAAAGTCTGCCTTCGTGTTCACCTCCGTCAGTGCAACCCACTCCCGTTGGTCTTTTTTCACAAGTCGCTCCTTGGCTCTGGTGTCGGCCTTGCCACCAGAATTCTCCCCGTCCGTCCCTTCAACTGACCGTCGCATTTCAATCCTTTCCAGCCTCCATGATGAAGTTTACCATCATGGCAATGAGCACTGCAGCAGCTTTGTTCGAAATCGCGTCTGCTGCGACTTGCTACTCACAGTCAACGGCATGCGTGAGTTCCCGTAGCTACAGACACACCTCCGTCGTAAAAATTCAAACATATTACTGACTTTGACCAGTGCTTGAAATTGAACAAGGCCCCAGGACTCGCTGGCAAGATCTACTTCCCCAACTCCACCGAGTATGTGGAACGTATGGACTCGTACTGGTCCATCACCGCTGCCCTGGACCCTTGGTGTGTCGCACAGCCCTCAACAGCCGAGGATGTCTCGACCATCATCACCACCCTCGCTGCGTCTAACTGCACATTCGGCGTTCGCGGCGGTGGCCATGGCTCCTTCGCTGGATCCAACAGTGTCAACGATGGTGTCACCATTGACTTTGGCTTCTTCAACAGCACCACCTACAACCCAGACACCAAGATCGCCTCCATTGGACCCGGCGGTCACTGGCAGACTGTCTACGACACTCTTGCCCCGTATGGAGTTGTCGTCACGGGTGGCCGTGCTGGCACCGTCGGAACTGGAGGCTTCATTCTCGGCGGCGGCAACTCTTTCCACTCGGCGTCTCATGGTTTCGCATGTGACCAAGTTGCCAACTTTGAGGTGGTCCTTGCTGATGGATCCATCGTTAATGCCAATGCCACTTCCAACCCTGATCTGTGGCAAGGCCTCAAAGGAACCGGCGCCAACCTTGGTCTTGTCACACGCTTCGATATGTACGCAATTGACTTTCCCGACTCAACAAAGCCGGTAGTCTGGGGAGGCAACCTCATCTACGACTTGGAGTCCGGGCCTAAAGTCATCGATGCCCTCGTTGAGTTCACGGAGAACGTCCACAAGGACGAGAACAGCTCTTCCATCGTCTACTGGGCGTACCTCCCCCAGCTCGGCGGTATGATCCTCAACGCCGCTATCGAGAACACCTTGGCCGAGGTCGCGCCCCCTGCCTTTGACGCTTACTATGCGGCTGGCAACATTACCCAGGACACTACCAAGGTCGACTTAATTTCCATCGTCGCAAACGAACTCGGTTCCGGTCAGCCCGCCGGCTTCCGCAACGCCTGGTTCACGCTCGCATTCGACAACGATGCTCGGATCATGAACTACGCCGTTGAGAAGTTCTACACCCTGAACGCGGATCTCGAGAAGGCTGTCGGTGCTGACTCAGGCTTCAACACCCTCTGCATGTTCCAGCCCATCACCAAGTCCATCGTCGACAAGGGCATCGCCATGGGTGGGAACAGCATGGGGCTGGACCACTACATCACCAGAGGCAACGGCATCATGTTCCTCATTACCTTCGCCGTCAACGGAGCTGAGAATGAAACCATTTCCTTCCCGTACATCCAGGCTTACACAGAGGACGTCGAGGCTTATGCTGCGTCTTTGGACTTGAACTGGGGTTGGATCTTCCTCAACTATGCCCACAAGGTACAAGATGTTATCTCGTCGTACGGTGAGGCTTCCATCGAGAGGCTGAGGGCCGCTTCTACCAAGTACGATCCTACTGGTGTTTTCCAGAACCTTCGTCACTCAGGCTTCAAGATTCCCTTCTAGATTTCCGGTGTAACAGTTGGCGAGAGAGAGAGAGAGCCCCCAGCATCAGAGATCGTCGATCTACTTGGCACCTTAATGAAGAAGGTCATTATCACATAGACTCATAATATTAGAAAACACAACCTCCCACTCTGGCGATTGTGTACACTCCGTGCTAAATCTACGTGCTTAAATTCCCAATCGTCCTGACACTTCATTGGGAATTTTGATAACACTCAGTATGGAAGAGTTAGAACAAGTGACTAGGTAGTTGGTATTAAATTCACAACCGCTAGAAGGAACGCTACGTTTGCTATGTACTCTATGCAGAAAGCGACCTCTATCGAACAAATCCGACTATCAACAGTTGCAGCCACCGCTCAAGGCCAAACACGGCAGCCAAGTGCAAGACTCCCAGAAAGATCCATCACCCGCCACGCAAGTACAGCAGTAGCAACCAGCGCAACAACAATCTGGACCCAGGCTGCCGCCCACATTAGCACCACTCCTCAAAGGATCCATCTGTTTTCCAGCCTCATACGCGCCATACACGATTCCGGCTCCGGCTCCCGTGGCAGCGACACCCCATAGCCCGTTCTGCATCGAATTCTGGAACCCCTTGACGGCCTTGTCCGGAGTAATCTCGGTGAGTCTATGAGTTGGCGTCTCAAGACTTTCCTTGAACCAGTCATAGTCTAGTGCACATCCTTCAGGCGTCTTGATGATGCTGCCGAACCTCTTGAGCAGCTCCCGGCAGTCGTCGTATCCCAGATCTTCAGCGGGAATGAATGAGCGCGCGGCAGCCCATTCGGTGTTGACTTCATCTTTCGTCAAAGTCGTCCAGCCGATCTGACAAACGGTGTAGTCACGGATGTGATAGCCCTTGGACGGTGTCGAAAGCTGAAGTGCTCTGAGCTTGTTCGTCTCTTCCCTTAAGGACCATGCAGCCACCCTCGCTTCATACACCCGAGCAGGCTCGAAAGAACTGGTCTTTTCGCTCTCTGGCACCTTGTCCTTCGGCTTCGGGACACTGCCATTTGGTAGGCGGAGCTCGTATTTCTGGCCGTGCGTGATGATGGCCCAATGTAAAAGACACCCGTCGTCGACGCGGCGAGAGTACCACACTTGTTCGCCCTTGGTTGTGTCCTGTCCCTGCTTGCCGCGAAGGTTCACTTCCTCTTTCAACCTCTTCCTATCTTCTTCTTGTTCCTCTCTGGCCCTTAGGATCTCCGAATTCTTGAACATTGTATAACGAATTCGAGTCTCGTGTAGAGTTATCGAGGCGTGTGGCGTAATGGTCTGTAAGAATTTGACGACGATAACCTCCCAAATTGAGTCGGAACGTATGGCAACTTTCGCTCAATAGACGTCGGCATGTTACACTCCATAAAATAAACGTGGGATCCTGGTTATCAATGCTTCAACGAAGCCGCTGACGGCATG